GGGTATTATAAAATAAACTTATTTGGGAAACAAAAGAAAAAAAACAAATACCAAAAGGTGGCAATATATTAAACTAAAACAGTTGTGAAAGAACTTTCATTAAAATAAAAAAGTATTTGTACAACCATAAAGAAGTCACAATACTCAACAGTATCAAAACAAATAAAGGAAAGGAAAAATGGAGAGACAGGCCAGAGAGACATTACAGTGGGTTGCACACATACTTTGCATGGAGTAGGTTCAGGTACAATCCCTGGCACCATGAAGTCCCAAGATGAGCTTGTCAGCACAGAAATGTGAGTAGCCACTCAGTTCTTCCAGGCACAAAGTAATAATTAAAGAACAAAGTTATGACTTGGGAGATCCTGGTTCTGCTATCGTCTGTAATTAATAAGACATTTTTTCTCTGGAAACAATTTGAACTTCAGATCTGTTATGTAGCCACAAATTCATATTCAGATACCTAAGTTTCATGACATACAAAAAATTTTCAAGTTTTTTAATATCTAAAAATAAATATGAAACCTTTTTGAATGTAAGATGCAGCAGCAGTGAATGGTGTCATTTTTTCCAGGGATGTGGGGATTACCATTGAGGCAGGAAATGAAAGGTTAAATGGCAAACAAACAGATAAAAAAAAAAAGAAAGAAAAAGACAGGATGTTGTAAATTTAAAGCCACTTTTATGTCCAAGACCCGTGTGTGATTTGAGAAAAATTTTAAAGAACTTTTGCCTTTTTCTTTGCAATTTTGAAAATACAACAGAGTGGTGAGGAAGTCTTTTCTGTTCCATTACTTTTTATAGTTTGATATTAGCAAACAACATGAAATAACCTAATGTGGATTAAGCAAAACTAATGAAAATATTTATAGAAAAAGATAACTCAATAGAACACTTTGTCTTTATAATTATGTTAAATGTGTTGCCTTTTTTTTAGAATTTTACAAATTTCAATTGACAGGGGCCCAAGAAATCATTTAGAAATGCTAGGGAATATTTATTAGTGCTAAGATGGTAACCTGTTTTTCTCTTGCTCTCAGGAGTCTTACTGCAATGTGTATTTAGACTTATGGAACTACTGTCTCCTGTTTATGCTATTACAATCTCCTGGTTAATACCATGTGCCTTACCAAATGTACAATGTGTAGCCGAATATATAATAAGTCTTAAAGAACAATTTCTTCGTTGTACTTTTTAGATTACTCATTATTTTGCTTCAGTGAACCTCTGTAGATCCAGAGATAATTTCTCCCAGTCACTCATAAATTAAGGGTAATGTGAATTCAGAATTTGTCTTTTCAACATATCTCATCAATACAGACACATTTACAGAAAAATCAAGGTTAAAAGAAACTTTGAATTTGCAATCTTTGCATTGCACTTATGAGGCAGGAACAGTTCCCACTTTTCTGCACAAATGTTGCATGCTGAAACACTGTTCTAGCTCCATATAAATGTGTAAACTCTCTGAAAGAGTCTTTGCAGTTAAAAAGAAAAAAAAAGGAAAAAAGTATCACTTGGTAATAACGGGAGATGTCATGTTTTCATTTTGAGCAACTGCCCAGTAAACACCTCTGACCACTTCTAGTTTTAATATCACAGTTTGAAACAAGCATCCTGTCTTGAGGGCCTTTTGTCACCACAAAACTGCAAAGTGGCCTCACCACCTCCTCTTCTAGGAGCACAGGAAGAGCTCAGCCCCCGAAGCCAGCTCATATTTGGCTGGCTAGTAGAATAGATGGTGTTGGCTTTTCTCACTTAATATTCAATAGTGTGAATCCCCAGTTGTTTTGGTTTTTGTTTTTACCAGATAATTTGAGCCAGGCTGTTTGCAAAGCATTCTTAACTTTCATTTTCTAAGAAGTCAGATATGAGTATTTGTCCGAAGCAAATAATGAGTTGTATAGTTAAATGAGTATTTACAGCTTTAACTCATTTTCTTGGCTTTTCCTACTCAGAGAAAAACGGAGACTCTTGTTTTACCACACTTAAGTGTTCTTAGATTTCAAATAGGTTTTTAAATTTATTATTCTGCATGTGATGTAGATGCAATAGAGATAAAATTATTTTTGCTTTAGCTAAAATTTTTCCCTACATTAATTCTTTCAATGGTAGTCTATCAGAACATTCTTCTGTATTTTCTTATGTTTCGGTGTTTTTCTTTTGTTTTGTTTTATCTATGCTTATGATATTTTCCTATCTTTATACTTTTAAAATGTATCTGATACATTTGCTCTCATTCTCATATTGCTTTGTCTAAATTAGCATAACTTTTATCAGATATGAAGATCTAGAAGGGCAAAGTCTCCACTTTCTCATTACTCTTCTCCAATATGGATAAGTCTACTAGGGGATTTTGAAAGATATTTTAATGAACACTGTGAAGACATGTGAATTCTGCTTTGCAAGTTTCACAACAGAACTTGAGTCACTTAGTGGAATTGGACTAATGCTAAAATATTTTAAGAAAATGGTACTTACATGAACCCTGTGATTCAACCAAAATTTACTCACTTTTAAAAAAGCTTTTTATCAAATTATAGTCAAATTCATAGAAATGTGTCTAATTCTGTTATAAATACACAAATACAATGCTTGTATTATAAATGATATATTAATTTTTCTGTTCATTATTGAAATTTATATAATTTATTTTCAAATTACTTCTATATTGTTATGCTATTATAATTTCTAATTGCTCACTGCATTTTTATGGAGATAAGCATGTCACACCCAAAAATTAAATTAAATCTGTAGTTTTAATTTTTGGTGGTGGTTTTAAAAGATCTGATTATATGGAAAAAAGAAATGAATACAAACTTCCTCAATAAAAAAGAAATACAAATGACAAAAAGGCACATGAAAAAATGCTCTACATTGCTAATCATCAGGGAGATGAAAACCAAAACAATAAGATATCTCACACCACAGAGACTGGCACACATTAAAAAGAATAAGAACAATTGGTGCTGGTGTGGTTGTAGAGAGAAAGAAACTCAGCTTCATTGCTGGTGGGAATGACGACTGGCCCAATCTTTTTGGAAAACAATCTAGATAGTATTCCAAAAAACTAGAAATAGGTCATCTATATGATTCAGCAATAGTACTTTTGGGAATATACCCTGGGGGGCCAAAAACACACAGCAGAAACTCCATTTGCATTTCTATGTCCATTGCAGCATGATTCACAACAGCCAGAATTTGGAAACAACCCAAGTGCCAGAGAACATAGATAAAGAAACAATGGCACATCTATCTATACAATGGAATACTATGCAGCCACCAGGAAAAATGAAGCCATGAAATTCACTTATAAATGGATGGACATGGAGAGTATCATGCTGAATGAAATGAATCAGAATGAGAGGGATGGACAAAGAATGATTACACTTATTTGTGGAATGCTAAAAAATACAATATAAAACTAATACCCAAGATCAGTAGAAAAAAGTCCAGGAGGACTGGTTCACAGTTGCAAACTTGCCATAAGTGGTGGTGGGGAGAGCAGTTAGGATAGAGAAGGGACCACTATGACAATGATCGTTGGAAATGATCACGCTGGACAAGAACTGAGCGCTGAAAGTAAGTCAAGGGCAAATATGATAACCTTTCAGTACTTGTAGTGCAACCATAATGCCAAAAGGAGAGAAAGAAAGAGGGGAGAGAGAGAGAGAGAGAGAGAGAGAGAGAGAGAGAGAGAGAGAGAGAATGAGAGAGAGAAGAAAAGTGTCTGTCATTCATAGATGCCAGCTATGGTGGGTGGTCAGGAATGGGAGGGAAACTGGTAACATCAGTGATGGGAAATGTGCACTGGAACATTGTATGACTGAAACCCAATCACAAACAACTTTGTAACTGTGTATCTCACAATGATTAAATTAAAAAGAATTCTGACTACTAACATTTTTAACTAAAGTTGAATTTAGTTGAAGTTAAGCATTAAGCTTATTAAATCAAATTAAAGATCAATCTTGAAATTAAAAAATGTTTATATAAATCTTGAAAACAAGTTTAGGCAAAGGCAAAGGCAAAGGCCCTCCTGTTGATCATTGATTTGCTCGAGCGGGCCCAGTAGTGTCTCCATTGGAGACTTTGTTGTTACTGTGTCTGGCATATCGAATACGTCACGGGGAGCTTGCCAGGCTCTGCCGCGCGGGCAAGATACTCTCGGTAGCTTGCCGGGCTCTCCGAGAGGGGCGGAGGAATCGAACTTGGGTCAGCCACGTTGGCTGGGTGCAAGGCAAACGCCCTACCGCTGTGCTATCGCTCCAGCCCTGCTATTGCTCCAGTGATAAGGAGATAAGGAGATAAAAAGATAAGGAGAGAAAACAAGTTAAAGATTATATTTATCTCTAAAGATTTTTAATTATAGTAAAAGTCCATCTTAATGTAAATTTTTAAGTTTTTAATCACAATGCAAACATTTTTATTTAAACTTGTTGTTTGAAACAATTTTAATATTTTCCCATGAGAAATTATTAGTACAATATGAAAATAAATTCAATTTTCCATCTACATTAGCTCTATACACTTTTGATCTGTTTTTGCTACTGTTTTAAATATTGAAACAGTTTTCACAAACAATTGACATTCTCTTTCCATTTCATAATGTATCATCCAAGTTGGACATCAAGGTGATTCTAATTTTAGCAACTATTTCTTCTTATCATTCCTATTTAGAATATTTTATGTGTGATATAATAATAATAGTAATAATAATAATCTCATTCTTGAAAGTTTATTATTGCTTTCTTGCAAAAAGATTTGGGACAGAGTTGTAGTGATTGATTTTTCTATTAGCTAAAAGTTATTTCTTAATAAATGTTATCAATTGTTTGAACAGTGTGAATTTGCTTTTTGAAACAGTATTTTCATGAAAGCGTGTTCAATTAGAATCAATATTGTTTTCTTCAGCTGGTTCCTACTACTGTTTTCATTCTGATAAATGCAATGGACATTGCTGGAGAATTTAAAAAGAACAAAATAATGCTATATGGGCAATGTGGAAGGACCTGAACAATTATGTAGATGGAACTCTTCAGATGGAGAAAGACAAATACTGTGTGATTTTACTTCAAGGTTGTATCTAAAGATAAAAAAGTTAACAGAATAAACAAAATATATAACTATATTATTGGTAGTGAGCATGTTATGTAAACTCAAAAATATGTAAAGATTTAAATCACTTCAATAAAATGATTTTGAGCTATGGGAAATTCAATACCCAAGAGTTTTGTATTTTTCACTTTAAAATGATTTTAAACAATCACAGTCCTGTCGACTGACCCAGCTGCCTTTCTCTACTAATTCTTGATTAAGTCTCCCACAAGATGCAAGCCACGCAGCTAGAACTTACAGACACGCCTGCTCCCCTTGCACTGAAAACTCTGGGGCACCTATGGGAGGTGGACAGGCCAAGTATCTGCCCTGCCTTGAAGCCCAGGCAGCTTATCCACATCCAACCACTGCAGCCACACCAAGGGCTCCACTTCACTTCACTAATATTCTTTGCAAAGGTGCCAGACTGCAAATAACTTCAGGTACCCAGGTGCCCAGGCCATAGATCCTAAAGTCTCTGGAGTGTGGCTGCCTCCTAACTCCTCAATACAGAAACTACAGTAGAAGGACACCAAATTTGATGGGAAGCTAACATAGAAGCCAGCTACACAAAACAAAACAATAACACCAAAGGCTCAACTAGCAACAGTTGAGAAAGTCCTTAGACAAGAATTTAACAACCTGTGATGAGATACAAAAAAAGTTTCATGTTAAAAATATTTATTTTTCATGCCTATCGATTTTAACATTGGAGATTTGTTACCTAATCATTTTTCAACTCTAGAGATGTATCAACTGTGTTATGATTTTTGTCTACATTAAAGTTTTAAATAGAATAAATATAAAAATAAATAAAATGATTTAAGTGCTTACAGTTTGTGTCATTAATGAAGTGTTCTGTGCAGATATAAAGTGGAGTTATTGTGGTTTCAACAGGAAAGTGAGATCGTTATAGCACTGATCATATCTATCCTGGAAATCAAAATTAAAATAGACATATCTAGTTTCAATTCTAATTGAGAGCACAGGACATATCTAAATTGTCCACTTAAAATAGAATTGCACAAGAACCAGGACCTGCTTTCTTTTCAGGTGTGTGTCTTTGTGTGTTTGTATGCGTATGAGTTGGGTGGTATGTGTGTGTATTTCCAAGAAATGTTCAAGAAATTAGTAACTTTAAGGTTTCAACTTCAAAAAAAATTTAAGTATTTTTCACTATAGAGCAATGCTAATTATGTCTTAAGTGTTTGTATGATATTGTTAAGGGCAAGAAGCATTATTATTTTTGATATATTTTTTCTAATAGGTAACTAGGATCTAGAATATATTTTTTAAGAACTACAAGATATAATGCTGCTATAAGGATTTTTTTCTGAACAAAAATAAAAGTATGAATTTTTATATTTTGTATTTTGAGTTGAATTGCAGTTCAAATACTAGCACTAAATTATTTTCTGCTCATGTGCAAGGTGTTTATCAATGCTAATACATAATAATACAACATGATAATACAACTTTGCTTTCAATCTAGAAACAAATGATGTCTGAGTCTTCAACCATCACAACAAATGTAATGAAACTTTCATTTTTTGACTGAGCATTAGATAATATTTGATAAAATCATTTCTTCTTAAAAGCCTGATTAGCACTGAGATGGCACTATGCATATAAATATGATATATTTTTATCATGATGGTAATGAAAAATTTTAAGTGAAGATGATAATATAGTTAGAAATTGAACTAAAATGAAACAAGAAAAAAAGCATTCAATAAAAATGCATCGATCATATCCAAATTTACCTTTCACTGAAAGCATTTTTACCAAATAAAATCAAACAACTATAAACCAAAATTACATACCAGGCAAATATTTTTAAGTATCTTAATGTTGTTAATAATGGTAGCATTATATGTTTAACATTTTATACTTATCATTTATAACCATGAAAAACATATAATTTAAATTTCTATCAGTTTATATGAATTCTAATTCTTTTTTCCACTTTTTGTAAATGCATGGAGAAAAGTTTTCAGAATAATTATTTTTCTAATAAAAATATATGGAACCAAAGTGATAGTACAGTGGATAGGGTGTTTGTCTTGCATGTGGTTGACCCAGGTTGGCTCCTCAGAATCCCATATGGTTTCCCAGTAGTCACCCCTGAATGCAGAACCAAGAGTTAGCCCTGAGCGCAGCTGGGTATCATAACAGAACAACCAATTCAATTTTTTTGCAGTTTTCTTTTGTACATGAAGATTTTGAATTCACTTCCAGAGTAGATAAACAACCATAGTTACTCCATGGGGTTGGTGCGAGAAAGGTGGGCTCATCACAATACAGGTATGTATATATTTGCCAAATAACTATGTATTTTGATTAAGATTTAGTTTTTTTTTTCTTTTTGGGTCACACCTGGAGATGCACAGGGGTTACTCCTGGTTCATGCACTCAGGAATCACTCTTGGCGATGCTCAGGGGACCATATGGGATGCTGGGAATCAAACCCGTGTTGGCCGCGTACAAGGCAAATGCCCTACCCGCTGTCCTATCACTCCAGCCCCAAGATTTAGTTTTAAAATATCCAGAATTTGATTCAAGCATATATGGTGATTTAATCTGATACTATCTTATATGTAGATTTTCATTGATTTACTATTGGTTTAAAATGCTAATTTCTGGGATACTAGAATTTTGGTAGTGAGTGAGTGAAGCATACTCATATATTGAGATGTGAAGATGATTACTTATCTTTACTATGTGTTTATTTTATATTACGTTCATTTCTCTTTCATTCAAATCTTTTAAAACATTAACAGTTATTGTTCCCCTTTCAAAATTAAATACCTAAAGCTTCACAATCTGAGGCAGCCTAGAATAGGGACAGACAGCCCATTCTTTTATATGTTGAATAATTAGTTGCTTACTACACGCAAATAATGTTTTAGTTTTAGTGTAGGTATAAAAGGTCATTAGAATTTACTTATAAAATACATACACATTACATTTTATAGTATATTTAATCAAGACTATTGCAATAATTTTTAAGTTGATTTTGTACAGATAGTTTAATTGTATTCCTCCTAAAGTTTTGGGTTGTATCATTTAACTTTACATTCTATAAAGAAAATTAGATACACTACTAAATGTTGTTTAACTCTGTGATTGATATAATTGTTACTAAATGTAAAATGTTTTATTTTTTTAATACCCATTTCAGGAATATTCCACCCTACCCTTATGCAATTTTATTTTGCAATATATGAAGCTAGCTTTAAAAGAATCCCTATAGGTAAACGTATGTCTAGATCCCTAATCTCTGTTTATTGTGCTTATACTTTAATATTGGGCTGGAACGATAGCATAGTGCGTAGGGCATTTGCCTTGCACACTGCCAACCCGGGTCGACCCCAGTTCAATTCCTTCACCCCTCTTGGAGAGCCCGGCAAGCTACCGAGAGTATCTCGCCCGCACAGCAGAGCCTGGTAAGCTACCCGTGATGTATTCGATATGCCAAAAACAGTAACAAGAAGTCTCACAATAGAGACGTTAGTGATGCACACTCAAGCAAGTAGATGAACAATGGGAGGACAGTGATACTTTAATATCAGATTTTATTATAATTTAAAATGAAAATTCTTAGAGTATAGTATTTTGTTATATATATTTTCCATAGAATCACATCTGTCACTGTCACTGTCCTCCCGTTGTTCATTGATTTGCTCAAGTGGGCGCAGTAACATCTCCATTTTGAGACTTGTTATTACTGTGTTTGGCAAATTGAATACGTCACGAGTAGCTTGCCAGGCTTTGCTGTGCGGGCGAGATACTCTCGGTAGCTTGCTGGGCTCTCTGAGAGGGATGGAGGAATTAAACCCAGTGTGGCTGGGCTGGCTGCGTGCAAGGCCAATGCCCTACTGCTAGAATAACATAAAACTAATTATATTATAGACTTCTAATACCATATTAATGAAGTAATATAGACAAAATAATTTAATTAAAAAAATTTCTTTTGGTTTTTGGGTCACACCAGGGGATGCTTTGGGATTACTCCTGGCTCTGTACTATGGAATTACTTCTGGCAGTGCTTGGGGGACCATATGGGATGCCGGGGATTGAACCCGGGTCAGCAGTGTGCAAGGCAAATGCCCTACCCACTGTACTGTCACTCTGGCAAATGTTTTAATGGTATAAATGTATGAAATACTGTTTATAAAATTTATGATCCATGTAGCAGACAAAACATCACTTACAATGGTCTAAATTATTTCTAGACATTAGTGAATCCCAGGACAATAGCTTGGAACTGGTAAAGCATGTTTCTCGAAGACAGCAAAAAAGAATTCCTACATCAGTGACAGATCAATGTGTCACAAACTGTAAGTTGCATATTCAACTGGGAACTGTGATCTTGCACATCAAAGCATTTCTTCACTTTATATTTTGCATTCACATTTCATGAAGTAAGAAAAAAGATTAGTTTCAATATAATACTGTAACACATAATAAAATTAGCAAAATCTGTTGTGTTTAGTAGTACTTCCAATTCTAAAAATGAAATTATGAAAATGAGGATAATCATGGTAGCAGTTTCTAGATGATCAATAAACAACAAGCTTTCTGTCAGGAGGATAAAATAAGGTAAAGGCCCTCCCGTTGATCGTCGATTTGCTCGAGCGGGCCCAGTAACGTCTCCATTGGAGACTTTGTTGTTACTGTGTCTGGCATATCGAATACTCTCGGTAGCTTGCCGGGCTCTCCGAGAGGGGCGGAGGAATCGAACTCAGGTCGGCCATGTTGGCTGCGTGTAAGGCGAACGCCCTACCCGCTGTGCTATCGCTCCAGGAGGATAAAATAAAAATGGGAAGAGAAGAGCCAAGAGACACAAACTATCCTTGACAGTTACCTTAAAATGCAATCCAAAAATTTTCCTTCCCTAAAACATGTTCTTATCCTTAGTCATATATACATGTAAACTATAATAGTATATTTGTTAAAATACTAGCATTGTGTTTTGTTTCATACCTTGAACCTCTTAGAAATTATTCCTGTCTCCTCAGGGAGGGCTCACTCATGGCAGTGATTGGGACACTATATGCCATAACTAGTGATCAAATTTGGGTTAGCCAGATAAAAAGGCTGGAGCGATAGCACAGCAGTAGAGCAATAGCACAGGTGCCTTGCAAAACACAGGCTGGCCTAGCCGGGTTCGATTCCTCTGCCCCTCTTGGAGAGTCCAGCAAGCTACAGAGAGTATTTTGCCTGCACTGAAAAGCCTGGCAAGCTACCCGTGACGTATTCCATATGCCAAGCACAGTAACAACAATTCTCACAATGGAGACATTACTGGGCCCGCTTGAGCAAATCGATGAACGACGGGAGGACAGTGCTAAAATGTCATGCTGGTGATCAAATTAGGGTTAGCCACATAAAAGGCAAGTGTTTTGACCTCTGTACTATTTCTCTGTCCTTGATACTGGAATTTTCATTGTAGATGAAGATGAAAAGAAATTGTTTAATGGTTAATGTTACGTAGGATCTGTTTCATTTTAGAGGCCACACCCATCTTTGCTCAGTTCTTGCACCTAGCTCTGTGCTCAGGGTCCACTCCGGGCAATGAACAAGAGGTAAAAGAAAGAAAAAATCAGTTTCAGAGATTTAACTAGGGCTGCCTACCTTCAAGGCAAGTGTCTTAAACCTTATAATATCTCTCTGGTTCTTACTATGTAACTTTCTTTCTTAGAGATTCTTTTTCTTAATTTAGAGGTTTTTAATTCATGACAAAACATTTTTTAATTTGTTTTCATTTAATTTCTAAGTAATTGAAGTTTTACTCGCATCTCTGTGATTTGCTTTATCATAGTATTGTGCTCTAAAAGGATAGTTGATATTTCTATCTATTTTATGGAGATGTGTTTTGTGATCTAACAGGTGGTTTGTCTTGGAAAATCACCCAGGTGCACTGGAGAAAAAAATGTAGACTCAGCTTTTGGGGCATGAAAAACTCTATATATCTGTCTTTTAGACTCATCTCTTCAAGTACTTCCTGCAAGCTCAGTTTTCTTAGCAATTTTTGTCAATTTTATTCACCAGCTCCCCTTGGAGGGGAGCGGGTTGAGCTTTCCTCCCCGCCCTGGCCAGGGCCCCGGCAGCTGAAGACCTCCAGGACCAGCCACCACCATGCTGAGACCACTCTCCGCACACCTGAAGGTACCGGCAGAGGGACAAAGCCACGTGGGTTCCGGGGCCGAGATCTCCAAGCCTACTCGGATTGGAGTCAAGCATCCTCCACCCAGATCCTCCAAACTCCAGTAGGCGGGGGTCACACCCACCAACTGGCCCCCTGGCGCCGTGTAATCCCATCAGGGGCCAAGACTCTGAGACTATAAAAACCAGCTTCCGGAGGAGAAGAGCGCAGTCTCCTGCCCCCGCGCCTGGCTATTCCTCGCCGGGGCCCCTTGGAGGGGAGGGGGTTGAGCTTTCCTCCCCACCCTGGCCAGGGCCCCGGCAGCCGAAGACCTCCAGGACCAGCCACCACCATGCTGAGACCACTCTCCGCACACGTGAAGGTACCGGCAGAGGGACAAAGCCACGTGGGTTCCGGGGCCGAGATCTCCAAGCCTACTCAGATTGGAGTCGAGCATCCTCCACCCAGATCCTCCAAACTCCAGTAGACATTTTATTATGACATCTCATTCCTACTTTGACAAACTGGCAGGCTACCGAATGTAGCCTGCCCACACGGCAGAGTCTGGCAAACTCCCCGTGGCGTACCAAATATGCCAAATACCAATAACAATGATGGGTCTCATTCTCCTAAAGAGCCTTGAATATAACCTCAGGGCCAGGATGAAGGAGACATTACTGGGGCCTGCTCGAGGCAATCGACGAATAACAGAATGATCTGTGATCTGTGATCTTTATTCACTAGTGATGAATAATTAATATAACAGAGGAGTATTAATAGTTTCTTATTACTAGGCCAGAGCAGTAGTATAGGAGGTAAGGCACTTGCTTTGCATATGGATGGATAACTGAGATATGTTCTCTGACACCCAATATGGTCATTAAACATTTTCAGAAGTCACTTCCCTGAATGTGTAATCAAATTAAGCCCTGCACACTCTTGAGTGTAAGACTCTATACCAAAAAAATATTAAAATCGTAAATGATACTCTCAAACTACTATTTTGTTGTTATGAATCATTTTATTCATGTCTGCTAGCTGAATGAAATTATTGAGATGAAGTAATTTATTGCTCTCATTTGTGGAAGTTCTGGTGTTTGTGGTTTGTCTTGTCTTTTAAAGAAGCTCCTTTAATGTTTCTTGCACAATCAGTTTCAAGATTATGAACTTCCCACTTCTTATCCATGAATCTTTGTATTTATTCTTCAAATATGAATACTAATATAGTTGGAGAGAGTATTCTTGGTGATTTTTTCAGTTCATTAAATGTTTTTGTTTATTTTACTTTATCCTTCTATTATTTTCTGGCTTTTAGTTTCATTTGATAGATCTTTGAATCTTATGGTCATTTGTATGTAAATTCCTCCTGTGATTCAATATTCTGTTTCTGCCTTTGACTTTAGTCATTCTGATTATATTGTTTCTTGAAATATTTCTGTTTGCATCTATTTTTACTCAGATCTTTCAGGTCTCTTGAATCAAGATGCATGTATTTCTTTAAATAGTGTGTTTCTTTGTCAAGTTTCCCTTCTTGTTACTCAGGGACTCCCGTGATTCTTATATACACTCTTGAGCTCACCCCATAGTTATCTGGTGTTCTGTTTGTTAATTTACAGACCTTTAGTATTAAGTTGTTTTCTAGAAATGTACTTGATCTCATCTTAGGGCTCACTGATATTTTTTCAACCGCTGTTGCTCTGCCGCTGAGTTCATTCATTGAGATTTTTGCTTCATCCATCACACTCTTCAGTTCAGTCCATTCTAATTGTAGTTTTCTTTTTCCCACTCTCATAATTTTTGTGCTTTATTGACTAACTGTACTATTGCTTTTTTGGTATCATTAAACATCCTCATCCTATCAGGATGTTTTTATAGTCATCATTTGAGAAGTCATAGAGATAATTTGTACTGGTAGAGCCTTATGTGTTACTATCTTCAGTCACAGAGCTTGGTGGGTTTCTATGTGATTTCCCCACTTTGATTGCTGTGTTCTGAGGGAAAATTTTCATAGCTTTTCCATTGTGGGAGCTCTATGAGGTATTGTGTTTCTCTTTCCTTCCCTGTCAGTCCTCACCTAGTGACAAGAGTTGGCAGTATGTGCAGTGTGAGCTGTGAGGGGTATAAGTGCTGCATGGCCACTAACGCTGCTCAAGGTAGAAATGGGAATGAACTTGGCAAGGAAATCTGCTTCTGGTTCCAAAATGGCCCTGGGGATATCATCCATTATGATAAACTCACATGGGACAGGCAAGAGTTTTATCTGGATTGAAATGCAGTTTCAGTAGTATTGGACACCATCAGACACAATTTTCTTTGTAGATCAAGCTATATTAAGTTCAGTAGAATAAGGAGGTTGAAGCCTGTGAGATATGACTATAAGAAGGGAAAATAAGTTTGTATTTTAAGTATAAGGGATGATGGATGGCGATATCATTAGTGGAACAAGGGAAAGGAATTCTTTTGAAGTGAAACAGGGTTTGAGGAACAGGACAGAATGAACATAAAGGAATGTGTAGAAGGCTCGTGTATGTGAAGAAATGTGTATGTAGGTTTGAGGTTTTGTTTTAAGAAAGAAAACTGTGAGCAAACTATATTGTTATAGGAAATCCTTTAAATTATCTGCAGAATTGTTCTAGTATCCAGAATCCTGTTATAGTCCTTTTAGAAAATTGGAAATCAAAGTTTTCAACATGGGACTGACTAAATGGGTGAAATATTTGCTTTTTTCTCTTCAGTGCCATGAAGCATTAAGGCACTATGTTTGTTTGCATAAACCCAGACAAAAGCCTTTCCTCTCTGAAATAGAGATACCTGGTGCATATAGGAAAGCCAGCTATGGGACCCCAAAAGTCCTCTTCCAGAGAAAGATTCAGGGGATTGGTCTAAATGACAGGAACAGGTATTTAAAAGGGACTGTTTCAAGTACCCTACAAACCTCAGGGAGACCCTAAAGGCAGGATGGCTCAAGGAAGGACTTGACATCATCTGTGCCCTGTGCCATGGAAAATGAAGAAGCTGGAAATCTGCAATGACTGACTCAGTTTGGGCCCCGCACTCAGTGTCAAAAACTGGAGGTTGAGATCTCTTCCAGCCCTGAAGAATGGATGGGATGGACTCCTGACTACCAGGACACTCCTATGGAGGGTGAGAGGCCAGAGGCCACATTAGTTCAGCCTGAAGGTTTTACCTCTAGTTCATCATGGAACCTGATCTTCATATCTTATGGCTGAGTCCGGGGTAGCCCTGACATGAGGTAAAACATTAAATGCTGTCATTGGTATGCTTTCTTCTCTGTCTTTGACCAACCCCCAGGACATCTCAGTAAGTAATGGAGTATCCCAAATGGAGTTTTCCGATCTTGCTGTGCTTATGTAAAAGAACAAGCCAGTTTTGTTAGGCAAATTTAAAATGAAGGAAGAGAGAATAACATGTTTCTGTAACATTTTTTAAATAAGAATCAGATTCTAGTTTTACAAAGGTGATTGAATAATTGGGCAATTCAGTAAGCTGTCTAGACTATAAAGAAACTTGATGTTGAACATATTGTCACCAGTCTGGCCAGAAAAGTGGAAGCCAGAGCTTTACCAGGGAAGAACTCAGCAAAAAGTATAGGATCAATTGTTTTCCCCCAGCCTGTCAACTGGCTAAAGTACTGAGAGTGGACATCTAAACTGGTTCTAAGTATTCACTCTTTGTTAAATAGGAACAAAGATTTTTTTAACAGTTCTGAATTCTTGTTCCATCATGGGATTAACAGCCCATTAGAAAATATTTCCTCTAATCCAGAACACCCTGTAGAAGAGGAAGAATGGGAATTGGAACAAGGTGTCTAAAGGAAAGTTGAAAATTACTGACACCTGGACTAATGCAGTGAAATATTAGTGAAAGGGATGAACAGGGCAGTAAGAAGGAAGTAACTCAGAACTGTGCTTCCTATGCCATTGATAATTGGTTCTTGTACCTGAGCATTTGAACATTTGTCATTTGGTTTTCTGCCTCCAAGGTCTAGTCACTTCAAAGTAGCATTCTTTAGTCTAACTGATCTGATCTTTCAACTTCAACACCTGGGGCTCATTAGAACTAAGGTAGCTTGAGATTTCACCCTTTGTGCAGTTCATTGTCCCTGTGTCAGCAGGAAGCAGCTCCAGAAGATGGAACTTCAACCATTTTCCCTTTAAAGATTAAAGGTGGTGAAATCTCTAGGGGAATATGATGTAGGTAGATAGATTAAGGAAGCTCCCCTTGAAAATCACAGTTGTCTTGTTGTGAGTGCGAACTCCCTTTACAGAGGGACTCTGTTCCCATTGAAATTCTTTTGGGTCGACTGCCACTATTCCAATTTAGCCTTGAAAAGGAAGTGTAGGCCAGAATGTATGATCTCTATATTCTCCAGTCATTACTAACCTTTACAGGTATCAAGGCCCAGCTCCATGCGGGACTTGGAGCACACTGTCAGAGTGAACTCCTCATCTATACCCATTAGAAAATCTGGTCTGAATCAGGTGACATAAGACTGTCACTTGCGCACCTTGGTGAAGTCCTTACACTGTGATCCTGACCACGCTGACTGCTCTAAAGGAGGATGGAATCAAAACCTGGGTCCACGCTTCACATATCAAAGCTGCCTTCCCCTTGGAAACAGAGTGACTCTGACCAGTGATGTGTCCGGACAAGGGGAGACAACTCCTTCAAGATAAGACTGAAGAAAGTGACTTAAAGGAACAATGGGAAGGGCATGGATTATTCTCTGTTTCTGTATCCTCTTAGTGACAGCTGCAGAACGAACTCCTTACCTGGCCCAGTTTGGGCACTGGGTACTTTCTGATGCTGAGACAGGTAGAATTGACCTTGATCTGTGCAAGTTATGACCAACATTAGGACATGTGTTTGTTCAAGGACCTACAGAGTCTATTGTAATCCAAACTATAGAGTGACCTCCTAGCAATTATACCACAGGTCAGCTAGAAGAGCCCCTATACTGAGGACCCAACAATACTTGGCTTGCTTGCACATAACCCCTTGCTTGTTCCCTTCTTTCCAAATTCCAGTCCTCCTGAACAGTGTTTAATGGTAAAGATCGTGCTCCATGTATCATGTAATAGAAAGGGAACTGGGAGAGTCAGCTTATTACCCTGATTCCATCCCACCTGGGGCCCTTAGTGCTCCTGCTTTTGCTTCTGACCATGGACTCCTGCAGCCTGAACAAGTTATTGGTCTTTTTTAAGAGTGTAATAAATACAGTACATCTTATGGTTTTGAGACAGTAATACCAATACATTTATGACCCTGTGGATGAGGAAGTTTCCTCATTTTAGTTTAAAGCAAAGGGGGGAATGTGAGGGTGAAACTAATGCCGTGACAAGCTGCATCCAACATTCTCAACTAGGCCTCAGTTTCTGTTTCCCTAAAGCAGGACTTGCAGTTGCTAGTCAACTCCCAGTTGAGTAATTTCCCAAGATAAGGAATTGGGCAGCTGGGTCTGGCTGGTCATGAGGGAGTCAGTGTACCCTCTTTAGAAACTGTTGCTAACCATCGCCTAATTGCTGACCACCATTGTAATAGGGCCAAATGCTAAAAATAAATCAGTATATAAATTGTTTCTTAACTCTGAACGCTATATAAACTGTTTGTGATTTGGAGTCAGGGTCTTTGTCAAGACTCTGCATTGGATGAGACTTGGGCCCTAGCTCGGACTAGCAATGACTCAGGCTAGTAATAAAGTTCCTTTGCTTTTGCATTATCGCATGTGGACTTGGTCTCTCCGCAACTGGGGACCTGAAACTTGGGCACAACATCTGGTGCATGGGCCAGGAAGTCTAGCAGTTGAGATCCCTCCATATACAATATAGAAACGTTATTCAGGTTTTGCTGATTTAGAAAAACAAAACTGTGCAGGCTCTTTCCAGAGAGCCGCTGGTCAGGTCGTGTGGTCATGCATCCCCAGTACTCTTGGGACACCCTGAGAATGGTGGACACCGTTCAGTAAGGAAACTTTTGGGGTGTCAGAATCTGGTTGGGTGCACATTGTTGGAACTTCTTTTGTGGCTGTTGTATGTCTGTTGTCTGAGTGTCATATTCTTGTTCTGTTATTTGTCCTGTTTCTAGTGAGTCTTTATGTCTTTATGTCTTCAATTGTCAGCAATTGGGAATCTGAAACTCAGCGGCAACAAAACAAAGACACCTAAGCCTTTTTTATCTACTCACTCAATCTCTCTCTCTGTTTTGTTGACAGCATCTCCATTTTTCCTTGCCAAAGCCATTGCTGTAGCTCTGGGGATCCATTTCATTGCAATGGTAATTATAGGCAGTGCCATGGTCATAAATTGTAAGTAATCACAAAAAAATAGCTAACAATAACATTATTTAACAATATTAATGCATTAATTAATTTATAAGTTCTTAGAAATATAAGCTAACAATATTGGTTATATATTTTGATTTTGTCAATTTAGAATTTTAAGTATTTTTACTTGAAATATAAATTACAACACAAAATATTTTAATGTTTATGATTATTTTAATAGCATTATTTAACCAAGGAGCTCCAATATCTTTGAAAGGTAAGAAAAAATTTCTAACATATTGAAGCACCAATTTCATACATACATTTAATGGGATATGGGCATTAACAAAATGAATGTTGACATTAGCATAACAAAAAGTGTACAAGGATATCACTAGATATTGTTTATAATTCACTCTTGCTTTTTTATAATGCAATTTTTTTGCTATGTAGGAATGCTTATAAAAAGTCAAAGATATTAAGAGTCTAATATGTAGGTCAGCAGTAGAGAATTTGTCTCACAAGTTGAGATTCTGAGGGCATAGTTATTAGGTATCACAATAGGGGTCCAGTTATATGAAATTTTAGCACTGAAATAAAAAGACTTTTTAATCTATCTAGAAAAATCTGCTTTAATGTTCATAAATAATAATATATTGTATATATTACGTGTATATTAACAATATATTCTCCCTTTCAAGAAAAGTACTGTGGTCCATGTCCTCCAAACTGGCTATGTTACAGAAATAACTGCTACCAATTTTTTTATGAGAGCAAAAGCTGGTACCAAAGCCAAGCTTCTTGTATGAGTCACAATGCCACCCTCCTGAAGATATATAACAGAGAGGAGCAGGTTGAGTATTTTCCTCGTTTTTTCTTTCTACCTTTTGTTTGAATTTATGAGGCAAATTTCCAGATTATGAGATTGATCATAAAAGAGACACTGCCAAATCTTTCTGCTTTAAGAATAAGATAGCACAGAGGCCTGGATCATAGTATAGCAGGTAGGGTGTGAGCTCTGTATGCGGTTGACCTTGGTTTGTTCCCCAGAATCCCATCTGGTTTCCCATATGCCTATGAGGGGTGATCCCTGAGTTCAGAGCCAGGAGTAAGCCTGGAGCACTTTTTGGTGTACTTCCCCCCTCAAAAAAAAATTGAGTAAGAAATCAAAGACATCATAAATATTATGCTCATGTTGTTTGTGTGGGAATTATATTAGAAGACAAACGGCATTTTCTATAAAAAGAAGCTGTTAAGAAGGGTATGGCTCTCTATTAAAGTCGTGAGTAATGCGTTATTTCTGCCTTTCAAATAGGATTTTTTAAAGTTGGTGAAGTCATATCATTGGATGGGGCTCCGGATTTTAACAAATGAATCCTGGCAATGGGAAGATGGCTCCATTCTCTCCTCTGACGTGTAAGTCTCTGTATTATAAGTTTACTCTGATTTATTCCTCAGCTGTCCCTCCCAGTGACTTCCATATCACATTTTCTTTCACACAGTAAAACATTTGTCTAAATGAGTTAGCAAACAAGTGATTAAAAAGTAAAATCAGTAGGCTATAGGGAAGAGCAGACAATGAAACAATAATGGGTAATCTAAAGTGTTTACTGTATCCTAAAACTTTTGCTCAACTCTCAGTTCTGCCCTTCCGGTACAACTTCTGTCCTCCATCCAGTGAGAGGTCACTGAGTCACACCAAGAAGTTCTGGGTAGAAGGTACTTGCTACCTGGGATAGAATTGTGCCTCCAGCATGCCTCCAACCACTTTGAGTTATTTTCCCAGTCCCTACAGTATAAAATTAAGATTTAATCGGCTGTCCGCAGCATTCGTGGTGTAAGAAGATTTAGCAATTCCTAGGATCTTTAGTGGGTTATGTTGGTGTCTATTTGGGCTTTCATCCCTGGTATGTCAAGTTGGCCTTGCAGGGAACAGCTAGAATAGGATACATGAGTGAAGAGCAAACAGTGAATGACTCCAGGCAACTGCCTTTACCAATCAAGGTAGGGGATTTTTATTTATGCAGTAATCCACCCAGAATCTAGGATCAAGTGGTCAGGAAAAGACAGGCATCTGATATCAGGATCAAGCTGTAAGAGGAAAAGAATCTTTAAGCACAAGAAAGGAGTCCTCAGCTCAAGAACAATTCTCATCCCAGGTCCCTCTTCTTCACATCTGGTTTCTCTCTCTGAAATTTTCTCTTTCTGGTTGCTTATTGCTTGGTCTCTACTCCCAGATTCCAATCTCCAAGGGGGTGAGAGAGATTGGAAAGAGCCAGAAGTTGTGATAGACATTGCTTTCCCCAAATTGGCAAACATTGAAAAAGTGTTATATAAGGACATTCCCCACTAGATCAACTCTGCATCACCATAAACTCTTTCATAGCTCGAACAAACTGATCCCTAAGGCAGATGAGCCATTACTTAAGGAGCAGGGTTAGTGTTAGACACAGGAGGGGTTTGTGTGTGAGTCCTCTCTTCCTCTCTGCAGTCTGACATCAGAGAACCTGATCTCCTACTTCAGCTAGTTGAGGAGAAATAGCAGCATCCATGTAAAAAAAAAGAGACTTAAACTGCAACATCAAACCTCAGAAATCCCTATGTTAGTGAATATAATCCCATTATCACACACAATACCGAGAACATTTATATTTTCCCAATGGAGACATTAACAAATAATGGTTCACATTTATAATAGAATGCATTTTTTTGCTTTTACTTCTTTGAGCTTGCTATATTTTGCATATATGTGAGTTAAGACAAACGGCAGGAGTCTCCTGAAATGATATCAGTACCCAAATTAAAATACATAAAATTCATTTTTTGTTTTTCTAAATTAATGAAAGTCACAAGTCTAATTTTTTCTCCTCTCTAATTTAGGGTAACAATTGTTGAAATGCAGAATGGAAACTGTGCAGTTTATGGATCAAATTTTAAAGGCTACACAGAAAACTGTTCAACTCCAAACACATACATTTGTATGAAGAGGACTGTGTAAAGAACTTATATATTATGCTTATATAGAGGATTCAAAGACATAAAGAGGATTCTCCATAAAGAATCTTCCAGACAAATATGCTATTATATTCATTAAATAATTTTCTTCTATGACATGCCATCAAAAATAAACCTGAAGGAAATGAAGTTAAATAGATAATTTATATTTTATTCCAATGTTTTCTTTAGTGATAATGGTATGATTATGTACTGTATCATCATTTATACATCATAAAAATTAATACTAGTATGGTTGTAATTGTGTTACTTTTAACACAACAAAAAGTGCTATTTCTTAATTTAGTAAACTAAAAATATATTAGAATTGAATTTTTAATTTAAGTTTTGGTTTGCTTTGAGAAGAAATGAACATCCCACATACTCAGAGCTAACTCCTGAGTCTGAGCTTAGGGATCACTCTTGCTCTATTTGTGGGATCATGTGCAGTGCCAGGGATAAACGTGGGTGGGTTGTGTGCCAAGGCAAACACCTTCCCTTCTGTATTCTCTTTGGATCATTTAAATTTACTTTTAACTGAGGCAACATTGGTTTATTAGAGTGTAAATGCTGTTCTCTTTTAGAGGTATATTTAAGTGAATGTACATTATGATTTTATTAAATATTATCAAATTGTAAAATAGTACATTTCACTAAAAGTTTAGCAAATTTTAACCACTAAAGCCTCTAGAACTTGTCAAACTTGAAAAAAATTGAAACTTAATAATGAATGAAGGCTATACATTCTGTTTAAAGTATTTGAAGAATCAACTTAACAGTATTCAAAATTTCAAAATCTCTTTGCTAAGTTTATACAGCATATCAAAAATATGTTGGCACAAATTGAATTACTCTTTGCAGTAAGATTTCAGATCCGATTGCTATAGAGCACAGAAAGTTAATAACTCAGTTGGGAAGAAATTGCCATCTGTAAAATAATTCATCTGAACTGAAATCTGTAGAATGACTAACATCATCTGGGCTAATGGTTTGGATATATTTTTTTAAAGAAATGTAATAACACATGCAAATATACAGATATAAAAAAGTCTAGAACTTTTTGGAACTTGACGTAAGAGACTGATGAAGAAGACAAGAAAGGTGAAAATTTGATAAGATATTAACAGAGCAGTTCATGCAGCACTTTGCATACCTTAGTCATTTGAATTTTATGCTAAGTGAAATTTCCATCCGTGTTTTGTAAAGAGAATAGAAATGTAGGTTGACAGCATTATAAGGCACACATATCATATTTTATATGAAATATATAAAAACATGTATAGTAATAGCAGAGAGAAAATTACTTGTATTCTATGTGGTTAATAAAGAAAAATGTTGGAAAGATTCATTTTCAAATTACCTTGTAAAATTCTAAAGTATGCCACCCAGTAGTAACAAAATTAGCACTTAGTTTTGTAGGTTTAAGCCTTTATTTAAGTCATCACAGAGGAAAGGCACATGTATTAGCTTTGGAAATGTAAAACAATACAACTTGTGCTATGCTTGTTTCTGGAATTAGTAAAGAAGAAAAGAACCTGAAATTAGTTTCTACAGAAAAGATAGAAGTTTTTGAATATAACATATCACAGCTTGGAGAAAACATTACAAAATTAGCAAAAAAGGCAGAGTGGAATACTGAAGATTCAAACTTCAATACCTATGTATCACATATATCATGCATGCATAATACATATATACTCTGTATTTACATATATGTTATATCTGAAATCTGGTAACTTCTTTTTTCTCCCTCCTAGAACTTATTTTATTTGCATTGCAGATGTAAGTTTTTGTAGGGTCCACAAAGGACATTGTGCCTGCATCTGTACACAGGGGCAGAGAGCTCAGAGTCAAAAATGACAGGAAAATGCCTTGCTTTAAATTTAGCAACTTCTGTCATTTTCCTACATCGATGAAGACTATCCAATTTTCATGCCTTTTGCATTTTGTATAGGCAAAATATTTTTAATATCTCCTGTTTAAAGACCAAATTAACCCATTAGTTTTAATCTTATAAAAATGCAATTTTTATTTGAGGTTCATTATGCTAGGCAATTTTATCTTACTCAGATCATTTCCTTTCTCTAAAACGGTTATAATAAGAACAACTAAAACTGGCAACATCTATCAAAATAAACATGAGTATAAAACTTTCATGGCAAAATTTGTTTTGAAAGCATAAGTAATCTGATCAATTTAAATGCATTTTATCTAAGTCCTCTATTATAGTAAAGAGAGGGTGTTATTTAATATTTATGTCTCAATAATGTTTCTTTGTGTATCTTATTTTCTTTGTATTTTTCCTTTGCTACTAATACATTGTTATTCATTGTATTTATTTTTACATATTATTTAAATTTAAAGCATTTTACATGAATTACAATGCTTAATATATGTAACATAAATAAATATTTCACACAATAAAAATCATTATTACTATTGCTCCAACCCAAGTATTTCTTTTTATTATTAACTCACTTATCCTTATCTGGAAAAATTTAGTCTGTGAAGTAAGGATCGGGACCTTCATATTAGGGGCCTAAAAGATAGTACAAGTGGGTAGGATGCTTGTATTGCACGTGACCAAACCAGGTTCCATCTCTGGCATCACATATAGTACCCCAAGCTCCACCAGGGGTAATTCCTGAGTGCAGGGGCAAGAGGAAACTCTGCACACAGCCAGGTGTGGCCCAACCCCATTCACCTCAAGAAACACCTAGAATCCTCATGCTACCAAGTATGCACAATTATTTCAAAAGAGATATTTAAATATATCAGTGAGGAACAGAAAAACAAATATTAATTCAAAAACAGTAACATATAGCATAATTCTTAGATAAGAGTATTCTTTTAGGAAATCAGACTGTAACAATTCAAATTTTAGGTATAGCTGAAGCCTTAATTTGAACATAGGACTTGAATGGAAAAGCATTTATCAAGGGCCAAGGAGATAGCTCAAGACCAGGGCTGATACTATGCATTCCCCAATGATTCAAGTTCAGTGGCCAGCACTACCTAGACCCTGAGAACCACTGGTGTGACACTGGTGGCCTGCAAACAAATGCCTGAACAACACCCTGTCACTAAGCACCAGCACTGAACTCACTGACTCAGTCGCCTAGTATCACAGGAAGTGGCCCCTCACTCCCTAAAATGCTGTCTGGGAGCCCCCAACTCCCAAAATAAAATCATATTGATAGTAGTCTGCCCCACGCCTGGCTGTTCCTCACCGGGGCCTGTTGGAGGGGAGCGGGTTGAGCTTTCCTCCCCGCCCCGACCAGGGCTCCGGCAGCCGAAGACCTCCAGGACCAGCCACCACCATGCTGAGACCACTCTCCGCACACCTGAAGGTACTGGCAGAGGGACAAATCCACGTGGGTTCCGGGGCCGAGATCTCCCAGCCTACTCGGATTGGAGTCGAGCATCCTCCACCCAGATCCTCCAAATTTCAGTAGGCGGGGGTCACACCCACCACCTGGCCCCCTGGCGCCGTGTAATCCCATCAACGGCTAAGACTCAGAGACTATAAAATATAGCTCTTGGAACCGTGCGGCCGCACAGGCGGCCGCGCGACATCTTATCAGGACATCTTTTATGACATCTTATTATCTCATTTCTACTTTGGACAAACTTCCAGGCTATCGAATGTAGCCTGCCCACAGGGTAGAGTCTGGCAAACTCCCCGTAGCGTACCAAATATGCCAAATACCAGTAACAATGATGGGTCTCATTCTCCTAAAGAGCCTTGAATATAATCTCAGGGTTAGGATGAAAGAGACATTACTGGGGCCTGCTCGAGGCAATCGACAAATAACAGGATGATGAAATGAAAATGAAATGAAATTGATAGTAGGGGGCATATTATTAGCAGTTGATTATATTTTTATTCATAAGGTTTTATAGTAGAATTCCTAAGATTATTCCTAAATATTCCTAAATATCTTCAAGTTAGAAGCATAATATTTACATGCATTAGTTATTTACACTTAAATAACTAATCATTGATTATGAGATCACGGGATCACAGTCCTCCCATTGTTCATCGATTTGCTCGAGCGGGCCCAGTAATGTCTCCATCATGAGACTTGTTGTTACTGTGTTTGGCATATCGAATATGTCACAGATAGCTTGCCAGGCTCTGCCTTTTGGGCGAGATACTCTCAGTAGCTTGCCGGGCTCTCCGAGAGGGGCGGAGGAATCGAACTCAGGTTGGCCATGTTGGCCACTTGTAAGGCGAACGACCTACCGCTGTGCTATCGCTCCAGCCCATTGATTATGAATTTATGTTAATATCTGGAGTAGGAAGGGGATAAAGGAAGATGGTAACACGATGTATTGGAAGTTCTTCATTTGTGAGACACTTTTCGCATACTTAGATTTATCATTTATTCTTGGAACCACTCCATGAAGAAGGCTCTGCCTCACCTACATTATTTCATAGATAATGAAACAGAAATAGGAACATGTTTGAAAAACAACACTAAGATAAGCAATGCGGTAAGACTGTGATATCATTTTAGATAAGTTAGTGTCAGGGCCTGTGCTCTTTTAAATCATGAAATAAATTCCACTCGCTGCACGGGGTACACGGGGGATGTTAGAAGACAGGAGACATCTACTTTCTGGAGAATAGGTTTACAAATTTAACTCAACATTTGTAGGAAGTGGGGAAACCCAGAGACAGCTTGCTCTGAGCCCTAAGTAAAAGCCGCGACATTGCTGCTTTTGATGAACAAACATCAAACCTACTGGGTACTAAGATTCCTGACTCCAGTACCCACCCTACCCCAAAACTGTCCCAGGGAGAGGAGTGATAAACGATTCACTGCTCACCCCCTGATTTATCGAGGAAAAGTTCAACTTCTTCTGGGGGGCCGGGGGGGACTAGAAATCTATTCAGCCATAAATTTTGCAGTAAGACATAAACTCATCTTGTATAGAAGGGACAGAAAATCAGCGCATGTGCAGGATCCTGAAGTAATACAAAGGAGATGACCAGAGATG